CGCTCTGCTCGCTCCCGTGCCCTTCCTCTTGCCAGCTCCTCAAGCTCCCTGTCGGCGGTGATGTCGCCGGCGATGGAGCCGTTGATGCTGCTGCGCAAGGTCTCAACCTCTACCTCCGCCGCACGTGCCGCATCTTCCGCCGCCTCCGCCTCCGCCTCCGCCCTGGCTGCTGCCAACTCCGCTGCCGCCAGTCTGGCCGCCCTCGCTGCTGCTGCAGCGGTCTGAGCCGTTGCTCGCCTGCGCTCTTCTGCTGCGGCGAGCTCGGCGTCCTGCTGACGCCGAGTGCTCGAGGCGACCGAACGCCGAGACCGAGCGTCGGACATGGCGCACCTCCGGGGGGCTGCTGTGTGGAGAGGGGGAAGGGAAAGGGGAAGGAGGAGCAACCGGTGCTGCTGGCTGAGAGCTCAACCGAGCTTGGGAAGGGGTGGAACAAGAGATGTTTAGCCTACAGGAAAGTGTGGCTCTGATACCAGATGTTAGAATTTCAATGGTTACTCTCATTGAGAAGAGGATGGCACTCGAGATGGGGCAATTTTCTGGTTTTCTTCATTCACAAAGCACAAAAGCCATATCCTCCCAAAGAGGATTGGATACATATTTATAGCTGCTTGTAGCAGCCATGCTAGTCTAAGAGCCATGCAGCCATGCTAGTCTAAGAGGGTGCTGTCCTAGAGCATCCCAACAAACTGTCCTAGAGCAGAGCATCCCAACAAACTGTCCTAGAGCATCTCAACAAACTGCTGTCCTAACTGTCCTAGAGCATCCAAACTGAAAGTAGAGATGCTGTCCTAGAAAGCTGAAAAGCAGGAAAAGGCACCACAAGACCAAGACCAACCAGCCAAGACTTATTCCTACAGCCATATGCAACCAAATCTTCACTTCTTTGTTGTGTTTGTTCTTGCAACTTTCATCATTTGTCCCTTCTTTGTTATTGACAAGCTGCTGCTCTGGGATGGCAAATCAGTCTGCACCTTACATGAAAAAAAAGATCATATATTTTGGACACCTTTATTGTGATGGAATATAGTCTGCAATGTAGTTGCAACTTACATGAACTTTTTGCTGCGAAGTTCCTGCAGCTACAGATGGCCTAAACCTTTTCTGCGGCCTGCTACATTCCTGAACCTGCATTCAATGTAGAGATCAGAATCACATATGTCAATACTCAACCACTTATATATGTAGCATGTAAATTACTTGCCTCTCTTGCTCTCTCTTGTACTGATATCTTTTTTCCTGAATTTCCTTTCATCGGACATGTTCTAATGTTATGGGTAGTTTGCTTGCACTGGCTACATCTTCCTTTAGTGTCAGTTTTGGATAACTTCTTCCCTTTTTTTACTTCCAATGGATCCCTCCTCCTCTCTTTCCGTGGCCTTCCTGGCATCTTGACATAACCTGGTGGTCCTGGCTTTGGATGACTAGTAATTGGCCACTGCATCATACCCTCCATTGGCATCATGCAATGGTCATATATTTTGTTATACACCTCAACACTGTAGCAATCTGCTATGTAATCTTCAGGTTGCTTTGAGCTCACAAATAATGCAGTTATAGCATGTGCACAAGGAATACCTGCCAATTGCCAATACCTACAGGAACATGTTCTCTTCTCAAGGTCAATTGTGTATCTCTTATCCTTATCAGTGACCTCAAATCCATCTTTTCCATTCCAAATGGCTTCACAGTTTCCAGATAAGTCAATGTACTTGTTCAACTTCTTCAAGATATTTGGACATATCCTACCTAGCCATCCTTTTGCTTTGCTCTTGTTCTGTTGTATCCTCACATAAACCTTGGTCCTTATGCCCTCAAACATAGATATGATTGGATGTGCCCTGATGTCAATTATCCAATTATTGAAGCTCTCACACATATTGTTGTCTACACTATCACAATTGGACCCTATCCTAAACCAAGCTCTACTCCAGTGCATAGGTTCAGTGCTCATCATGTCCTTGGCACCAGCAGGAGTTAGCTGTGCAAGCTTGGCTCTACAAAAGTTGAAAAATGGTCTACAAGATGCCTTGGCACACTTCCAAAATGGCTTCTGGAATGCTTGATCCCTATACTTCTTCCTCCAATTAGCATAGATGTGTCTAGTGCACATCCTGTGCTCAATTTGTGGCAAAAATTCCTCAACTGCACTTACAAGTCCCTACATTGGTAAACAAAACACATGAGGATCAATATTCATGTATTTTTGTTGATCATATAAAAATAAGTAGATATCAAGGATGCATTACCTTTTGTTGCTCAGAAATAATAACCCAACCAGCTCCATGAGGATCAATATTCAGATCTTTTTGAAGTAGTCCAATAAACCAACTCCAAGTGTCTTTTCTCTTTCTCGACTACTGCCCATGCTATTGGATACATTTGGTTGTTGGGGTCTCTTCCTAATGCACATAGCAGCTCACCATTGCAAGCACCTTTGAAAAAACAACCATCTAGTCCTATAACTTTTCTGCATCCAGCTAAAAAACCTTTCTTGCAAGCATCAAAACATACATACATTCTCTGGAAAACCGGCCAATTGTATTCATGATCCAAACAAATAGCCACCGTGCTACCAGGATTACTCCTAAGAATTTCTGCTTGGTACTCAAACACTTTAGAGTACTCACCTCTGCATGCATCATAAATCCTTCTCATGACAATACCCTTAGCTCTCTTAACTTTCGAGATGGACACATCAGCAAACATATCCAGCCTCACTGTCTTCTTCAAACTTTGCAGTTTCCATGATGGATTAGACTTGATGATGTGCTCGTACTTATCAGCAATTCTTCGGCTAGTAACCAATCTGTTATCTCTTCTCTTAGGGCAATTGTGCACATCATTGAAGGTTTTCACCTGAAACCAATCACAGTTTGTTCCATTTGAGGCAAATATGAACCATGGACAATCTTTCCATGAACATCTAGCTCTGATCTTCTTAGCTTCATCCTTGGGGAATCTGATATGCCTGTTGGTTACAAGACCATACTTGATTACTGCTTCCTTAAACTTTGCTCTTCCTGCAAATGTCATGCCTATTTCAAACTTAGGTGTGTGTGCTTTGCTATCATACTTTGGAAATCTACTCTTCCTTCTTATTGCTTCACCATCTTCTGCATCATCATAAGAGGCTTCTTCACTTGAGTCCAGAAATGGTGTATCAGTGTCATCATCCAGTCCCTTATCATCTTGTTTATTTGGTGGGTCACTGACAAGAACAGCGTTGTCACTGGTTACAGTAATAGTGGCACATGGATTCTTCTTAACCTTGTTGGCATGCTGTCTATTTTCTTGTGCTTCCTCATCATCTTCAGATCTCTCCTCATCATCTTCAGCAATACCATCTGTTTCACTAGAATCTTCAGCATCACTATGACTGTCATATTCTTCCTCAATGTCATCTTCAACATCACTGTCATCACTGACACCATTGCTAAGCACAACATTATCATCTTCATTGTGCTTGAGTATTTCAGCATATATTTCAGCTACATCACCCATGATTATGCATTGAGCCATATATAAGCATTCCTTATCATCTGATAGTGCTTTCAGGCCATTGTTTAGTTCAGCACCTGGAAATAACCAATGGAAAATCACTTCATCTTCTTCACTTAGTGAAACATGGTCTCCAAGGTATCCTCTGATCTCTGGCAATGCCACCTTGTCCCTCTCTATGTATGACATCTCAGTTTGACCACCATTATAAACCACAGAATATCCATCATAATCAAATTCCCCACCAAAGTGAAACCGGATACAAAGTACATCCAAATTATCCATTACACCTAACATGGCAACAATGAGATCATCAGTAAACTTATCTTAAAAAATGAAACATTAATCAAGCAGCAATTATCTACCAAATCCTAAACAACTCATCCCAAGATAAAATAAAAATCAACCAAAAAACAGTCCCTTATACAGTATGAAGTGAGATAGCTGATGAACAACAACTTATGAAGTGAGCCACCCTCACCGGGCGTCGGCTGCCACCCATGCTACATCGTCGATGGCAATGATTTGCTCCATTTCAGCATTTCCACTAGGTATGATGCCTGCGGTGCATGTGCCATCGCTCGCGACGGCTTCAAGACGCACACGCCGAGCGCCGGCATCTGACGATGGATAATGAGCTCGCAAGAAAAAAAAACAGCAAGGGATAGCAACAACCTAACCCTCAGTAGTGCCCTACCACCAACGAAATCAACCAAAAAAATTTCATCAACCAACTGCCACACGCACTTATTATCCCCTTCTAGAACAACCCTAAACCTAAAGCATGCCAAGATGGAGTGGGGAGGAGGGAGGGAGGAAGGGAGGGAGGGGGAGGGACGCACCACGGGGCTGCGATCTCACGGATCAGCACCGCCTATCTGCGACGATCATCACCTGGATTCTCCGCCGTCGGAAGGGAGAGAGGAGATGATGAGAGGACTTGTGAGGGAGAAGAGTCCAACGCATGGAGGAGAATACGACGTGTGATTAATCTCCTGGGTTCTCTTTCTCCACGTTAGATCCAACCTAGTAAGCAAAACCACCTAATCCATGTGCCACATCAGCAAAGCGGATTGTATTAGATTAGAAAGGTGAATAGTGATCCGGTTTTAAGAACCTAGGGGGTTAAGTAAACCAAATTAAAGGTTAGGGGGTTATTTGCTCCAGGGTCATACTTGAGGGGAGTAAAACTGACTTTTTCCTTTTAATAATTTGAGAGTTCAGAGAAAAATGTTGTCCAATTTTAGAGTTGAGGGACAAAAATTAAGCCAAGTTGCTCTTATAAAAATTTGTTGGTGTATGTGGGAAAAAAAACAAGTATCTTTTTTCTTGAGAAAGTAGCCAAGCCAAGAGTTGAGAGAAAGGAACAGTACGCCTATTCCATGTGCATAAGATATATGTATCGTTGTTATATCTCTTTGTTTCTTGGGAGAACACATAATAACTGCCATAAATTAAAGTTAGTATCATTATGTGTTTGATTTCTTTGCACTATTTTTCAGGATGTTATCTGATGATTCTGATCAGAACTGCACCGTGCCACTTCGATTACAATTTGTAAATTCATGCAGTAACGATAAGTACTCAACACACAAAATAGAAGCAGATGATGAGAACCCCCTTCAGGTAGCCATATATGATCATAACGACAAGATCGTAACAATGGAACCATTTTCTTCGATGAGAGTTCATATTGTAGCCATTGACGGTGACTTTGACGATGATAACAAGGGACAGTGGACTAAAGAGTATTTCCATAGTAAAATAGTACCTGGACGACCTCATAAAGGCCATTTGCTGTCTGGGAAGCTGTATTTTAGACTGCAAAATGGTGTGGGTTATCTCAATAGTGCCAAATTCCAAGACAATTCTAGTTTTGTTCCAAGCAGAAAGTTCAAGTTGGGGGTTATGGCAGCTGATGAAAGAATCTCAGTAAGAATTCAAGAAGGAGTAACTGAATCTTTTGCCGTGAAGGATGTTCGGGGATACTGTGAGTTCACGCGTGCCATTCTATTCTAGCATTAGTACATCCATTAACATTTAGGGAAGGGGCAAGCAGATGAGTAGTAAGAACAATTTAACTATTATGACTACTAATCCATAACCCATGCATTCACACAGGCTATTTATGTTACATAATCTATATATATGTAAGCTTCATACTGTTTAAATACTTAAGAACAGAACAACTTAATCCACAACCCATGCATTCACACGGGGTATCTCTGGTTTTATCCTAAGTAAAACTATCCTATGTTCGACCAAGTTTATAGATAAGAGTATTGTTCCAAGTCAAACTATCCTAATCCAGGGTGACTACATCAAATGTCTTTATCTGCAGTAACAAAGAAGAATCCCAATCCATCCCCACGTGATGCTGTATATAAATTGAGTAAAATTGCAAAGAACGGTGACAGGCACAAGTTACTAGAGCAGAATGGTATCAAGACAGTGGAGGACTTCTTATCTTTCTACAATAATAGCGAATATGATCTGCGTAAAGTATGAGATTGATTATTAACATTGTTATTTTGCTAGCTAATTTATTATCTATGCAATGTTACTGATAGTTTTTTTAATATCACCCTATGTAGATTTTGGGGAAGATTTCCGACCAAGATTGGGATTTGATCATTGCTCATGCTCAGAAATGTAGACCAGGAGTTTACTCTAGTTGCCTTAAAGAGAGCAGTGTGTCTCATGAACATGAGGCTCTTTCTATAAGAAATGACAGCTATTGCCTTCAGGAATCATTCTCAATGCAACCAAGCCATACACTACAAGGTAGGTTCGACCTGCCCTCTCTTGAGTAATTTGAGTGCTCCCAATATCCAATCATCATAATTTGCTGCTGGAATTAGTTTCTGTTAAATGCTTCTTGATTAGTTCTTGATTCTTCAAAATCTCACAGAACAACTTGATGTGCAAGGAATGCATCCGCAAATTTCATCAACCTATGATGGATCTGTTGGATTATCAGACATTGGTGTGCCATATAGATTCCAGCCAGACACTTTGGACAAGAACTTGATGCACCATGGTAGTTGGTCTTTTCTTTCTATTGCACATATCTTGTGTTTTATCAGTTCAAAAGGTAGATTTTCTCTAAACTTTCTTCAGGACAACTTGAAGGCATCCAAGTTGTTATTGATCCACACGTTCCATCGGTAGAAAGTGTGGATATGCCAGTTTCGTCCATGGATAACAGTACCTTAGAAGTGTTTAGCTCACAGCAACAACATTCTTTCAAGTGCAACAATACACCTGAACTTGGTATAGCAACCTTTATTTCTGTACCACTTTTTTTTAGTTAATGTTTTAGAAGAATAGTTCTGATGTTTGCACACTGTTATATTTCTCCAAAAGGGAATGGGCTATCACAGGTTAATTCATTTGATTGGAACTTGGACTGTCTCGATGGCGACGTAGATGTAAATGCATTGTGGGGATCTAAGGAAGATTTTCCGAGTGAAAATATGGGGCAGGGGGGTCATGTTTACACAGAAACTCCAGGTCCAGGAGGTTCCTACAGTGCAGCTGAGCAAAACTTGGGTCATTTGTCTGTCAGTGAAGCAGGAAGCATAAGCTACAATGAAATTTCGGCTGTCAATGAAGCAGGCAGTTGGAGCCACAGGTCACTTTCTACTCCACCACCTGTCAGGGGAGCAGCCAGTATGAGAAACAGGGGAATTTCATTTTCGTCTCCAAGGGGAACAGGCGGTAGAAGGGGAACAGGTCGTTGGAGAAGGGCAGAAGGTAGTGGCGACTACGGGACAGACAATATCAGCAATACAAGTACATACTTTACCGGTGAAGAACAATAGACTTCATGGATGAAACGAGTGGGATGCCTTAAAGCCTTTTCTTTTTTTCTTTTTTTCTTTTTAGAACTCATACATTTTATTAATTAAAAACAGAGTTTAGAAACATATAGCATTGAGTTACAGTTGCATCTCCCTTTGGAGCATTGATAATGCCTCTTTTAACAGGGCACATATCCCTTTGGCAAATATGAGAAACATTAGAACAGTCAAGCCAAGCGACTGCTAGGTTGAGCTTGTCTTGCCGATTTTGCCAAATCATCTGCAACTTTGTTGAGATCTCTGGGGATCCATTTGATGTGAACTTCCCTTCCCTGCAGAAAGTTTTTAATTCTTGATAAAGCAGGTCCTAAAGACCAGTGACCAGGATCCGCCATGCAGTCCTCCTTTTTGTGAAGCACTTGAATATAGTGATCAATACAACCAACTTTTTGGCTGCTAGGTCGGCAACTTCCCATTCCGTTATCTTGACATTTCGATCAATTATAGGAAGTTGAGAAATACGGAATAGAAAGAAGTAGTCTAGAGATTTGAGAGGAAATTAAGTAGCTGGAAAAGAAAACTTCTTTCGTTGGGAGGACGACTTACTTTGATTAACTCAGTACTTAGCAGTCTTCTAATGTATAATGTATATGATGTCATTCCTTGCAATCCCTAGTGGGGTACTTAAAAAACTTAATTACCTTTGATCTAGGTTTTATTGGCAAGGAGATGGATATAAGAAGAAATACCGACTTGCTAAGTGGGACATTATTTGTCGTCCCTAAGAACAGGAGGGCTAGGAATTCATGACCTCGAGGTAAAGAATAAAGTGTTGATTAGTAAGTGGTTATACAAACTACTTTATCACCGATGGAATATAGCAACAACTATTACGCTATAAATATTTGGGATCACAACCTTTATCTCAAGCCTATTGGAAAGCGGGGGATTCACATTTTTGGGCTAGTCTTATAAAGGTCAAACAAGACTTTTTCCGTTTTGGATCCTTCAAAATTAGAATGGTTTTTCAAAATATGGGCAACCAATGAGGTTCAGAAACTTCCCCTGTCACCGCCAGACACTAGCTCCTCTCTTTTTTTCTTTCTTCCATTCATTTCTTTTTTTTTCTTCCATTCGTTTTCATTGTACTCTTTAGCTCTCATTAGTATGTACTCACTCCGTTTCATATTAGAAGTTATTTGACTTTTTTTCTAGTCAAACTTTTTTAAGTGTGATCAATTTCATAGGAAAATTTATTAGTATTTTCAATACAAAACAAATTTTATTATTAAAATATCTTCAATGTTATATTTAGTGTAACTAATTTGATATTTTAGATGTTAAATTTTTCTATAAACCTGATCAAATTTAATACAATTTTACTTAATAAAAAGTTAAATAATTTATAATATAAAAAACTGAGGGAGGGAGTACTAGTAAAGACGACTAACTGTAGTAGAACATGATAAAGTGGTAATGATCGATCTATGATGTGGATACTAATACGTTGGCAAGCACAAACTAGAACTAGTAGCTGTTCTAAAAAAAAAAGTACTAGTAGCTTATACACATGTTGCTAGTGAATACTAATGATCATGTCTCTGATTCTCCGGTCCTGTTTGCTAGAGGTTCAACTCCAAAATTTAGCTTCAGGAGATGAGTTTGAAGTGAAAGTTGTGGAGTAGTCAAAACCCAGCTCCACATCTCTATAGAGCTTTTGTGAGAGCGCTCCACTCAACTTTGTTTTTATTTTAAGTGGAGCTGAAACTGTTTATCTAAGCTTCAGCTCCAGGAGAGATGGAGCTGTAGCTGTGCCAAACAAGCCCGGAGGATTCAGACAATCAAATGTCAAAAGAAAAAAAAAGATTCAGACCTCAATCACACAAAGCTCAGGCGTTGCACAGCCATCTTCTTGCCGCTCCCATCAGGAGAGGATAGGCTCCTCCGGGTGAATGTATGGTGGGGAACCAGCTGCTGGAGGCGATGGCACCGACGACGACCTTGGTGAGGAAGACGACGATGCTTCCACCGGTTCATGATCAGCATCAGCTGGTGTATCCTTGCTCTTGGCCAGCTCTTGGTTCTGGTCGTCCAGTTTGTCATCAGGCCTGCATATACATAGCAAGGAAAACAAAACATTACAAGTACATTAATATATTCAGCTATACACCATATGTACACTGTGTTACTCTGGCAAGGAAATCAGAACAGTACGAGTTTCTTTTGCGAGATTGCACGTCAATTAATGTATTAGTAGAAGCAGTTGAAATTAAAGTAATTCAGCTCCACCATATATATGCCTTCGTCCCAAAAAGAAAAATCCAATACTGAGAACATACACGTTGTCCACAAACATCCTGACGGACTTTTACGGTACAATATACTGCTGCAAGTATATATGATCTAACGGTGTAGATTGCTTTAATTTTTTTTGTTAATTAGATTGTGGTATAAAGTTTGAAAGGGTAATTTTATCTTTTCTTCGTTATTCTATCATCAAATCGTGCTATCGCCACGTGCTTCATCATCAAATGACGCTCAGGATGCTCCTCCCCTAGTGCACGATAAGATCCAGGACCGGGTACTCCCAATTAGATTCTATCTCAACCAAAAATTACTAAAGTATTATTTTATTTTCTATCAAATTTCTAACATACCCTTTTATATACTATCAGTATATACTGGTAGCACTGGTGGAGAAACCATCTTTCGTCGATCGGCCGATTTCCACAATAGTCCCGGATGCAATAAAAACCGTGGCTAAAAATGATCTTTAGTCCCGGTTCAAAAGGGTAACGGGCATATTTGATCTTTAGTCCCGGTTTGTGTTACCAACCGGGACTAAAGATCATCTTTAGTCCCGGTTCGAATGCTGTCAGGTCATGTCAGGCCCCCCCGGGATCTTACCAACCGGGACTAAAGTCGTAACTTTAGTCCCGGTTGGTAATACCAACCGGGACTAAAGATCCCGGTGATCTTTAGCCCCGGTTGGTGCTACCAACCGGGACTAAAGTCCCACCCCTATATATATGTCTTCTTCCTCCTCCAGCTGCCCGAGCAAGCTTCAAAATTTCTTCAAAAAAGATGGGAGGTCATGCCAAAATTTCTATTGAATTTATTTTGGTGATTACATACAAATCGGAGATGCCTAAAAGGTTTGCAACTTCATCCTCCAATGTTTTTTTTGTCATACTACATTTGCACCTATGTTTTGCACACTTTTTTTGTCTCCAAAATTTAGTTGTAAGTTGATGAGAGAGAAAATGTGTGTGGGGAAGAAAGAATATATAGAAATTTAGTTCATTTGCTAAACAAGGTTTTATAAAATAGTTGAGAAGGAAAACTCTAGTGAAAGTTAATCTTAAATAATAGAAAACAAACTAAAATGAAAATTAAAAGAAGTAAAACACATTAAAATTAGTTTAAAACTTTACAAATAGTTTTTAAGAATTATTTGGTGTAATATTTTATGATTTTTGTATGAATAAAGATATCTTATAATTATTGTATGACTGTCATTATTGTAAGAATAATTATTTGTGTACGGTTATTTTGACTCATGTAGATGGATCGGCAATGGATGTATGCTGACTGGCGGTCCAAAGAGTTTATTGACGGCGTGCACTATTTTTTGAGAGTGGCCGAAGCTAACAGGCAAAGGGGTTTTATTTGTTGTCCATGCAATAAGTGTAAGAATCAGAAGGAGTATTCTGCATCCAGGACTATTCATTTCCACTTGTTTGAGTCGGGGTTCATGCCAAGCTATAATTGTTGGACATCCCACGGAGAGCAAGGTGTTGAAATGGAAGAAGATGAAGTGGAAGACGACAATATTCCGGACTTTGCTCAGTATGTTGGATTTGAAGGAAATCAAACGGGCGAGGAGGAAATAGCTGCTGATGGTAACGACGTTGCGGATGATCTTGGTCAGATGTTGCAGGACGCTAGGGAGGACTGCAAAAGTGAAAAGGAGGCCCATAAATTGGACAAGATGTTGGAGGACCACAGAACTTCGTTGTACCCAGGTTGCGAGCAGGGGCACAAAAAGTTGGATACCACTCTGGAGTTGTTGCAATGGAAGGCAAAAAATGGGGTTAGTGACAAGGCATTTGGCGATTTATTGAAACTCGTCAAGAACATTCTTCCGGGGGGAAACAAATTGCCCGAGACAACGTACGAGGCTAAGAAGATAGTCTGCCCGTTAGGACTGGAAGTTCATAAGATTCACGCATGTCCGAACGATTGTATCCTATATCGCGGTGAGGAGTATGAGAACCTAGAAGCATGCCCTGTTTGCAAAGCACTACGATACAAGATTAGACGGGACGATCCAGGAGAAGTTGACGGGCAGCTAACAAAGAAGAGAATTCCTGCTAAGGTGATGTGGTATTTCCCTATAATACCACGGCTAAGGCGTTTGTTCAGGAACAAGGGGAATGCTAGAATGTTGCGATGGCACGCTGAAGAGCGTCAACAGGACGGGATGCTGAGACACCCCGCCGATGGTTCGCAGTGGCGAAACATCGACAGAAAATTTAAAGAATTTGGAAAGGACGCACGAAACATACGGTTTGGTTTGAGTACGGATGGCATGAATCCTTTTGGAGAGATGAGCAGCGGCCATAGCACTTGGCCCGTTACGATGTGTATCTACAACCTCCCCCCCTGGCTATGCATGAAGAGGAAGTACATAATGATGCCGATTATTATTCAAGGCCCCAAGCAACCTGGTAATGACATCGACGTGTACCTAAGACCACTGGTCGAAGATCTTAAACAGTTGTGGAAGAAGGAAGGTGTCCCCGTGTGGGACGAGGACAAACAGGAGGAGTTTAACCTACGAGCGCTGCTGTTCGTAACCATCAACGATTGGCCTGCACTTAGCAACCTATCCGGACAGTCCAACAAGGGGTACAAGGCTTGCACTCACTGTATGGATGAAACAGAAAGTACGTATCTTAAGCACTGTAGGAAGGTTGTATACATGGGTCATCGTCGATTCCTTGCAACAAACCACCCGGTACGGAAGAAAGGCAAGCACTTCGAACATAAGGCCGACCACTGTACGAAGCCTAAACATCGCAGCGGGAAAACAGTGTTTGCTATGGTTAAAGATCTTAAAGTAGTGTTCGGAAAGGGGCCTGGAAGCCAGCATATAAAGAGCGAAGATGGTCACGCGGCGATGTGGAAAAAGAACTCTATATTTTGGGAGTTACCATATTGGGAATTCTTGGACGTACGCCACGCAATCGACGTGATGCACCTCACTAAGAACCTTTGCGTAAACCTTCTTGGCTTCCTAGGTGTATACGGAAAGTCGAAAGATACACTGGAAGC